GGTCCCCACGATCCTCGAAGAAACAGGAAGAATCTCCCTCTCCCCTGACCAGTGTCACACTCCGTCACCTGTGGCCTCGGCAATGATGTTGGGATCTTTCGATTCCCAGCACCCTTCACCTTCTGCCTCAGACACGCATCCTGGCGAGTGGGGTCGGGAGGTCGCCATGCCATCCTCGCCGTTCCCGCTGTCTGTGTCCTCCAGACCCTTCCCAGGATAACCTCTTTTCCCAGCCCAGGCGCCACATGCCCCACGCCCTGTGCGGGTCATCGAACCAAGCCGACATGGGCAAGCTGACCACTTTACTGCTTCATTAGACGTCCGGACATGGTGGAAACCCTTTAACTCCACTGGGAAGCCGGCTCTCTGCATTTTGGGTATTTCTTTCAGATCAGCGCCCATACACGGGTCCGTACAACCTTGAGTGCAGTGGCGGAGGTCTAATGTACCGATTAAGGTACACGATAGGCACACTGTGACCTTCGGCGGGTCAGATCTCACCTGCCACTCTATGTTCAACTCTGCATAACAGGATATTATGTAGGACTTTCCTGTTGCCTCCAAAGTAGCAACTATGTCCTGAGGCTGAGGGCCAAGAAGTGTTAAGTACCTTGCAGTTCTAAAGAAAACCGCCAACACTGGGGCCACACACCTTCCCCAGGGCTTCCTAAGAGTGACAGAATGAGCCCTGTGCCCCGAGTCACCATGTCAACTCCTCCCACCGCTGTCCTATGTAAGGAGACAGGCCAGGGCAGGAATGGGTTGTAGGAGTGGGTGGGATGGATGGAGAGGAGGGTTGGGGGCGGCCAAGGGAAGGGGCTCTGAGAGAACAGTGTGAGGACTGGGGGCTTGCAAGGAGGGGAAGCCAGCACCTCATTCCTGAGTAAGGCATCCACTAAGCAGCAGGCCAGCTGAGCCCGGGAAGAGGGGCTTGGAGTGGGCTGATGATGGGGACAGGGCGTTGCCGTGAGGCAGCAAGGAAGTCACCAGGATGTGACAGCACCCAGGGTCAAGTTCAAACATGGTGTCAACGTGGCACAGTCTGAAGAAGTTTCCAACCTCAGTCACTCACCACGCTCAGGGCCGGTTTTCCTCTAAGTTCGCGGGCTGCGTCGCAGAGGTCGGCTCACCAGCCCTGATGCCTCTTCTCTCGTGGCGCGTTTCCCCTTGGTGGCCCTTCGTGGACTTAGTTGCTGGCTCATCTCACCTGAGGCCATTTCGATCTGTCAGGGAAACTTGAACAATGGGGAAACTCAAAAGTGGGAAGATGGGATCTCGATGGCTCATTGCCAGGAGGCTGCAGGACCCCTCTGAGAAATCAAATTCCCTTAGCTGCTTTAAGCATCACAGACAAGGAGGATGGCATGGTGGGGATGGCGGGAGGCGGGGGGCGGGGGGCGGCTATGTCAAGCCTCCAGCTCCACTAAAACCCTTCAAGATATTCCTCCCCAGGAATGATGATATTTCCTGGCTTCGGCTTAACTTGAACGGCCCGCTCCAATGTCCTCCCCAGAAGAAAGGAGAATGGAGATGGCTGGCAACATTTAAGTTGCAGTTTCTTCGGTGGGGACGCAGTCCTACGATAGTCATGATTACTATAATGCAGGGCTGTCATGGCAGTAGTCACTCTCACTTCTGTGCTCGCAAAACAATGGCACACATACCTCTATTTCTGGTCTCTGCACAGTGTGTTGTGACCGACTCTCTGCCCGTTCCCCCTTCAGTAGCGCCTGGACTTGGAGGTCTAAGGGCACGGGCATTAACACATCCATCTTTACGTACCTGACCCAGTCTGGCACCTGGGAGATCCTCAGGTGTGTTCGTCACATTGAATTCCCTGATGGCCAAATATGGAGGCTTTGCCAAATTTGACTTATGATGTCAGCACATCTCATGTGTCTTAATTAGCTTTTGTGCTTCTTAACAAACAGTCCCCACAACTCAGGGGCTTCAAACAGACCTCTTGCTCCTGGGACACGTGGCTGCCATGTGGCGGGGCTCTGGCTCCCTATGTCCTTTCCTTCACCTACCAGGACACCTGGGCTGAAGGGGTTGTGGTCTGGGATGGGCCTTCCTGTGGCTGAGCGGGAGAGCCTGGGGCTCAGCCCAACAACCCCTCTGTGTGGATGAGGCAGATGTCACTTCGGCTCACTTTGCATTGTCCTAGCCACCTGTGGCTGGGGTGGGGACTGCCCTGCTGTAAGGCACACTGCAAGTCACAGGGCAAGAACAGGCAGGTGTAATCACACAGGAGAAGAAGTGAAAAGCCGTGAACAATAAGACAATCTATAATACCACAGTACAACAAAACAGGCGGGTTTTTAAAATTTTTATTTTGGTAAGAACACTTAACATGAGACCTACCCTCTTACCAAATTTTGAAGTGTATATACAGCATTGTTATCTCTAGGCACAATATTTTAAAGCTGATATTTAAATCTTATCCTGTATACGTGAAATTTTATGCGTGTTGATAAATGGATAAAGAAAATGTGATACATACATGGAAGGGACTATTATTCAGCCTTAAAAAGAAGAAAGTTCTATAATATGTGACATCATGGATGAACCTGGAAGACCTTGTACAAAGTGAAATATGCTAGTCACAGAAGGACAAGCACTACACGATTCTACTTACATGAGACACTTAAAATAGCCAAACTCATAGATGAGAAGGGTAGAAGAGTTTAGGGGATGGAAGAAACGGGGAGTTGCTAATCAGACAGTTAAAAAAAACCAAGCAATATAGTGAAAGCATCGATTCATTTTCCAAGTCATTGTTTTGTTTTGTTTTTAAAAAAACAATATTTAAATGTTATCATCATCAGAACAAAATTGAATGCATTTCTTAGGATAATACAAACATCCGAAGGTGTATCACATCCTCCCACCGCAGCCCACACACTTCTTTCCGAAGCCTTCTCGAGCCGTGGAACAAGAAAGTAGAGCCACGGTAACTCCCAGCTCCCGAGCTGCTGGGCTCCAGAAGCCCTGTGCTTTGCCTCGCATCAGATCGTGCACTGGGTGACACGTACGCGCTTCCCAACTTGGCTCAACCGAGGCGAAAGTCTTTCCTCCCTTGCTTACTAACTTCCCTCCTTTACAAGTAGGGTCGAAAGGCTTTGATCAGGGATCAGCTTCATTTAGAAGTTCCCACCGGCAAAATGGGACAATCTGACCATCAGTTAAGACATCTGCAAGGCACTGAAGCATTCGAATGTGATGAAATCCATGACTTCATAGACTTCACGGTGCAAAAAAAAAGGAAAAAAAGATTTTCGGCAGCAAGTCTAAGAGAATAAAGACGCGGTTGAGACGACACGGTTTATGGAGTGCGTGCTGTGACCCAAATATTATTTGGCCACTACATCACCATACGCGCAGAGAGCACAGACTTCCAACTCCCTGATCGACAACTATGTATGCCGAATCAGCAATCTCCCAACCATGTTCTGAGATTTTAAGCTCAAAACCAGAATTGTCTCTATGACTGATACTGTATTTCAGGCTTGGCTTAATGGTAACTCTTGAAGTGATTCTTTGGCCCATTTGCAAGTTGCAGTTTTCGGCTTTAACTTTATCTCTAATTAATTAATTAAAAAATATCTGTACTCAATGCCTGTATCCAAAAATGAGGCTCTGCAAGGTTGTTTGGAAACCATGTTCATCCAATCCATCTAGAATCTTCCTTCATCTAGGCCCACCCTGCCTGCTAATTTGGACACATAGATACATATGCCGGTGCATGATTTCTGGGATACGGGCTTCTGTTCTGTCCCCAGACCCCTTTTCGGCCTCGAGGACACACCCCGGTGCCCCCACTGATTGTGTTCCCTCTTCCGGCCCCGCCAAGGGGTTCTTGCTGCACATTCTCCCCAAGTCTACTCTCCCGGACCCCTACAACTGGATTTTGAAGTCAGTTAATCCTGCAGGCAAGAGTTTTATGTGGCAAAGGCTTTGGGGAAGCACACGGGGCCAGGGCAGCAGGAAGGTCAAGAAAGACGACAAGGCAGAGACTCGGTCGGATCCGAGACATGAGGCCTTTAGGGGTTCTGGAGTGTCATCCTCCCCAGCCTCTCCCTTAGCTGTTTCTGGAAACATTTATGGGGTGGTCTCACTCTTGCTACGGCCCTGCACCCCCAGGGGGGAACTCATTTGTCTCTACCCTTTCTCTAATCACTACCTCCAACCCTCCCCCTTCCCTACAGACCAAACAAGGGCTTTATTTTTTTCATCTCATAGATTATGCATATTTTATAAACAAAAATATTAATAAATTTTTGTATAGGGGGCTGTGGCCTAAGAGGCCTGGGAACAATGGGGACATACATTTAATAGATTTCAAACGTTGGGTACGTGGTTGGCGTAGATAAACCATAATAAAGCAACAGTGTGTCATGCCCTGACACAGAAAAGGATCAGGAAACCTAAGCAAAGCTGTCAGAAAATGATTATGATTCTCGAGCTCTCCAGGACCCGGGGAAGCCTTCAAGGTCAAATGCAGGTGGGAGACGAAGCCAAGGACCAGTGCTTGCCCAGCTGAACGAGCAAACCCCTTACGTTCATCCCTGTCCAGGCTCAGCCAGGCTCACGCCTCCCTCCTCTCTGCATGTGGCTCAACCCCACTCACCGTCACTTGGTTCACCCATGCCTGTCTCAACTCCTCCCCACCTGCAGCCGGGCACTTGATTAAAGAAACTGACTGAATCAGAGAGGGAGTGAAGAAATGGTGAAGACTGGGGAAAAGGCACAGGCACAAGGTGATGCGGCATCTTCCAGGAACTGAGATGAGCTTTCTGGACAGTCAAAGTTCACTCACGGTGGGTACATGATTGGCTGTACGAGAGTGACAAAGATCCATCTTGGTACATGCCACCCTGAGGTCCCTGGGAACTTACTTGGGAGACTTACAGACTCCTGTTCTTTGGCAAACCACGAAGCTCATTATCATACAGAGATTGCCATCTCCCTTTAAAAATAACAAGCGAATTGCAGCTCGTTTACAAACCAGCCGAGACTTCCTGCTCCCCTGTGGAAGGGGTGTATGCTGAGCTCACGCCGTCTGCTGTCTCCCGGTAGAAAACCGGGCACTGTTTGCAGAGGTGTTTGGCGATATGTTTCCGGAAAAACACGGAGAGGTACCGTCTGAACTTCTCCCCGACGAAGGCGTAGATGATGGGGTTGATACAGCAGTGCGTCATCCCGAGGGTCTCTGTCACATGCATGGCTTGGTCCAGCCTATTAGAGCTAATGCAGTTATCCAAGCCGAAGAAGATCTGGAAGGTGTTGAGCAGAAGGACGATGTTGTAGGGCGCCCAGAAGAGAAAATAAACGATCATGATCACAAAGACGAGCCTCACGGCCTTGTGTTTCTTCCTCTCGTTTCGACACCGAAACAGGGTCTTCAGGATCCCTGAGTAGCAGATCACCATGACAAGCAGTGGCAGGACCAGGCCCAAAATGCTTCTCATGATTGTATAGAAATTATTCCATTCTACTGGAAAATAAGGGCCACAGAAGTAAACTAACCCTTCTGCTTGAGATTTGGTAAAGATGATTTTTGGGAGAGAGGCGAACACAGCCACCACCCAGGTGACCCCACTTGTCATCACCCCAAAGGTGACCGTCCTGGCTTTTAAAGCGAACACCGCATGGACGATAGCCAGGTACCTATCGATTGTCAAGAGGATGATGAAGAAGATTCCGCCAAAATAACCCACGTGATACATCCCCGTGAATAGTTTACATATCACATTCCCCAAGACCCACCCATTTGCGGCGTAATGAATCCACACTGGGAAAGTCAGAAGGAAAAGCAGGTCGGAGATGGCCAGGTTGAACAGGTAGATGTCGGTCATGCTCTTCAGCTTTTTGCAGTTTATCAGGATGAGGACGACCAGCAAGTTGCCCACGAAACCAAAGATGAACACCAGCGAGTAGAGCGGGGGCAGGAGGCTGGCTTCCATTTGCTTCACCTCGTCATTGGCGCAGGGTGAATTGCCCTCGTAATCATAACCGGTGGTGGGGTCTTCATCATTCCCCTTGATGTTTGCCGTAAACAGAGAATGAGACGTGGCCAGCACGTTGTGGCTGAACCGGGGAAGCACGTCATCGTCACCCATTTTCTTCCTCCGTCCTGTAAACAGAGCACAGGATGGTAATTCGCAGCGTAATCCCTGATCTTAAAAATATCCTTGCTCCACTCGAGCGTTGTCTGGCCTTCGCCTTCGCCTTCGCCTCGCAGCCATCTCCTTGGAAGCGTTTGTGCTGCTTTATCCCCTTGTGGCAGATGCCAGTCATCACCCCGACCGCCCTCTGCCAACACCTTTGACCTTCTTGGAGAGCCCGACTCATGATAAGGCTAACGTGATGGACACTCGCTTTCTCTACCTCCTCTGCAGGTGGCACACAGGCCTGTGACCCATTCCTGGACGATAAATCTAGGAGGAAACTCTGTCGGGAGCTTTTGGGAACTCCGCTTCGTGAAGAGAGAGGCAAGAGAAACCCTAGCCTGACATTTTTGCTTTTGCACCTTGTCTTGGGAGGGCTCGGTGTTTGGGACCATGAATAAAAGACTCAAAGAACTGAAGAAGATCTAAGCAGAGTCCCAACATCAACAAGTTCCCCAGCCTGCCCTCGAACTGCCCATCTTCTGATTTCTTGTTATCTGAGAAAAATCAGTCCCGGTGTTTAAAACATTACTAGTTGCATTTTTTTTTGGTCAATTACAGGCAAAGTGTTCTGATGCCCTTCTCAACTTTCTGCCTCCGTCATCCTGCCAAAATGTCTCTTGTCAAAGTTCCTTCCTCATTGAGCCCTTGATCCCTCTGATAACTTCAGAGGAACGTTCTGCATTGTTATTGTAATGTCATAGGGTTTCTTCCTCGGAAGCGCCTCTGAGACTCATCCCTTCTCTGCCTCTTACAACTGTCACTCCCTGGCCTTCTGTGCACGTCTCGCTTCTGGCTTTGTTGTGGTCTTTCGCTTTTTTGTGTGTGCTCCCTTTCATTCTGTCTGTTCTAGCACTGAAATTGAATCATGCCCTTCTCAGCTTAAAGCCCCCAGCAGCCCACGATGTGGAGGAGGTGGGACTTCAAAGGGAATGCCCGGCCCGCTCATCCTGCCTTTTCTAAGCTCGCCTCTCCTCAGCTTCATCTCTAAGCGCTTCTCAAAGCCCAGAGTCAACCATAGCCACCTTCTTTCCATTTTCCCCGAACGCGCCATTTCCGTCACGCTTCCGTGGTTTTGCGTGTGCCTGCCCTCTGCTCGAAACGGCTGGTGAGCTCCTGCTCATCCTCCAATACCTCCTGCTCCAATTCTCTTCTTCATCATCTTATGACCCTGTGCACGCCTCTCAGTGAGCACTTATAACATTACCTTCTGTCCATTGTGTTCTCCTTGAGGTCAAGGACTAGATCGTGTTTCTCTCTCCAGCTCTTATGACAGCACCCAGCAAATGGAGGCACCAATAAATGGTCATTGAAAGAATGCATGAAACTCATTATAAGTGCGACACCTAACATCATTAAGCTTGATTCTCAAGAATACGCTTTTTTTTTTTTTCCTGGTAGTGACTGTGAATTTGTTTTTATCTAAGTGCACACCTTATCTTTTTAATCTACATATACGTTGTTCGGTTTCTCTTGTGACTGATACATTTCACAGATCTTGCATGTCATGTCACCGAGCCAGATTCTTGAGATCTGCAGTGACCAAATGAGACCTTTAATCAAGCTTGGAAGAAAATGAATGTATCCACCTAAAGAATCACAACTATGATTATTAATTGAGGGTTCCTTTAATTCCAGGTGCTACGCTAAATACTTGGCATACATTAATTAATTTAATCTTTGCAAAAAATGTGTGGGATAAGTATTTATACATAGTACAAGTGAAGAAATTCAAGCACGGATGGATTAAATGACTTCCTCAAACTTATAAAGCAAGTAATGGCTGAGCTAGAATTTGAGCCCTGGGCTGTTCAATTTCAAAGGCCCTGAGGGGCTCCCGTCTCCAGGCTCTGAGAACAGAGATGGGTATAGAGCAGGTAACAAATTTTCTAGGTATTCTTCCATGGCTTTAACAGAACCTCTTTGGCATTTCACCTTAAAATGCACACTCGCCCACATGAGCGTGCCCCATCCATGCCTGCACAAGCGTGCATGTGCGTGCACGTGCACACACACGCAGATGTGCACACACACGCAGACACACACACTTCTACCAGAACATAAGCTCCATGAGGGCAGAGATCTTTGTCTTTGTAATGAGGTATCATGGTACCCCAGAACCCAACCCAGTAAAGAATGGCTACTAAATAAATATTAATTGGATAAGTAAATAAGAGAGAACTCGTAGGCTGCAAGCTGCTGAGAAACAAAATGCTCCACTGTGGGCTAGACTTCCAGGTAATCCAGTGGGAGACTTTGTAAAAATGAATTATATTGGGGATCCACAGCCCCTTAAATTGCAGCAAGCTCTCGGGCTGTTTCGTAGTTAACCTGGGCTTCGTCTCCTCCTCTGTGTGGGGAAGTGTGGACTGGAGCAGTGGTTCTCAAATGCTTGGCTTCAGTTTCACACAGAAAGTCTGTCAATTAGAAATACACAGCCCAGCCCCTCACTCTGCTGATTCAGATTGAGGGGTGAGGGTGGCGTACGAGGGGGTGAATTGTGCTAACCATTTCCACTGTGGATTCTCTGCTCTTTATGTGGTTTATTTATCTGCATTGGCTTCTCTGATGCCAGCCACCTCCCCTTTGTTACCTTTCTCGCTCCAGCACACTTAGCTCCTACCAAAGCAGACCCCTAGCAAGGTGGCTGAAGTGCACTGGTTTAGCAGTTCGCTTTTCATTCAGAATCATTGAAAAGCTGCCTCTCAGAAAAATAATTTTTCTTCACTTCAGCCTCTGTGCACCTAATGATTTGAGGCAAGAAGCACATTTTTGGTTCAGGGCTGGGGCTAGAGGAGGAGAAAATTCTGGGTAGAAAGTTCCAGCTCTTGAAAGCCCTTGGGAGTCAGGAGAGACAGAGTGAGAGGAGCAGTTGTCAAAAAGCCTGATTGTTCTTACTTTTCTTGGTTATTTTTCAGCATTCTCTCTGCTGTCACCTGAGCCCTGAGGAGTGGTCTCATCCTGCCCTGTACCTCCCCGGGGTCTCTCCAACATTTCTGGTGCAGACACCATCTCCCACCCCTTTCTCCCACCTTTATCATTCCCAAGTTCCTGAGCAGACAACTCAAAGGGCTCCCAGTGCATCTCCAGAGCTGAGATGCTCTGAGCCTCTGATTCATAAAATAATGGATCAAGGACCCACAACTCACCGTGAGTGGATGGCTTCTTCCAAGAGTCACTGGTGTGTCAGGCTTCTCAGCAACTGAATCAGGCAGATCTAGAGGTAGGAACTTGGTGTGTAGAAGTAGGAAATAAACTTTCCTGCAGAAGGAGAAGGCGGAGATACAAGAGTCAATAGGGTAAAGATTTAAAAAAAAAAAGAAGAAAGAAAGGATAATATAGTTCTTCTTTCCTAACCAAGAATATAGTACACTAGGTTGAAGTCTCCAGAGGAGGATTAATTTTGAAATCTTACTTATGCAACCTTGAGAGTGAGTCAGGCACACCCAGTCTGCTCCTGTGCCTAACGATTCTGGGCTTCTTTATCCTGTGGGTCTCTATATCTAGAAATCTACTCTCTTCTGTCAGCGATAATTTGCATGAAACGAGCACAACAAGACTTCATTTCCCAGAGAATAAATGCTAATGGGGGCTGTCGGTGGTGGTGGAGGAAATATTGTGAGGTTTTACGTGACCATGTGCCCTGGTTTCAGGGGGCATCCCAGATTTAGAATCAGATTAGAAATTTCAGTACGTAGAGCTTTTTAATGAAAAAGAATGCTAAATAGTCTTTTGTGTCAGAGATATCTTCAGTAAGAAGGGCCTCGGTTATGAGAGGTCCCACTCCCCAGAAAGAAGTTTGTTAAAAGAAAACACCATTGAGATTCTGGGAAGGTGGTGGAGTGGGAAGCACTAGGAATCTGTCTCCTCATCTAGACAACAACTGCCCTGGGAGAATCAGCGTGCTGTAGTGATTTCGGAACTCTTGAGTCTATGGAAGGCTTGCAGCTTTCAGGAGAAGGCTTGAATGATCAATTGCAGTTAACTTTGCTTAATTTCAGCTCTTAACACAATAACAGCTACCCATCTCCCATACCCAGTCCCTTGGAAGGCAGCCTTGCATCTATTCCTGGAAGAGATGCCTCACAGCTTGCAGAAGCCAGAGCTGGACCCTGTTGGACCCTGTTCTCCAAATATCAGGTATCTCTACTCCAATCATGGATTACTGCTTCTGATCTCAGAGGTGCAGACCAAGGTGCAGGTAGCCATTGCCGTTCCATTTCCCCTTATTGTTGTAAACCCCTCCCTCTAGGGCTGAAGTGACTTTCAGGGGATTTAAAGGGCCAGTTCCCTTATTTTTCTCCCCATGTTCTCTTTCTCCTCTTTTGGGAGTCAGACATTAAAGACTAGAACATTCAAAGGCAACTGCATTTCTGGGGAAAATTAGAAAGTGACCACAAGTATTAAGGGAAAGGCATAGGCTCAGAAAAGACCTGAGAAGACCTTAATTTCACACCTCAGGCTGATTCTTGGCACAGACACATCTTACAGCAATTAAAAAAATATAACAAAAAATAGCAGACTCTAGAGAAGGACAAAATCTGATTTCTAGAGTTAGAATCATATTAATAGATTCAAATGTCCAGCTATCAACCCAAACAAAACAAAAGCAAAAACAAAAACTTACAAGGCATACAAAGAAACAGGAAAATATGACCCATTCAAAGGCAAAAAAATAAACCAACTGAAATTGTTCTTGAAAAAGTTCTGATATCAGATCTATTAGATGAAGACTTTAAAACAATGTCATAAAGATGCTCAAAGAACTAAAGGAAGATGTGGATAAAGTCAAGAAAACTATGAACAAGATGGAAATATCGATAAAGAGAAAACCTAAAAAGAAACCAGAAAGACATTCTGGAGCTGAAAAATATAAAGACAGAAATGAAAAATTCACTATAGAGATACAAAAGCAGATTTGAGCAGTCAGAAAAAAATATCAACAAACTTCAAGAGAG